TTTCATCTGCATCTCTCAAATGACCAGTGATGTTGAACATTTTTTCATATATTTATTTGCTGCTTTTACTTCTTTGTCTCAGAAATATCTGTTCATTTCAGATGCCCATTTTTGAGTTGGGTCTTTGTATTTAGGGGTCTGATTTTTTTTAGTTCTTTATATATTCTAGATAGTAGCCCTTTGTCTGAGGTACAGCTGCTAAAAAATTTTTCCCACATTGTAAGTTGTCTCTTAGCTCTGTTGGTGGTTTCTCTTGCGGTGCAGAAGAAATGCAAAGAGATTTTGACTCTTGGATGCCAAGAGAATGCAAAAGAAAGCATCCTTTAGATCTAAGACAGAAAAGCAGCTGGCTGAGACTGGAATCTGTATCATTAAAGTATAGGGATTAGGCATGACCAGAGGTAGAAGTACCATAGCCTCACTAATGAGGCATGGGTCTTGAACCAATCACTATTTATTAGGACCTTTTATAACTCTGATGATAAGAGTATTATAAAGGCTGATAGTCTCTTTTAAGAGTCCCTGTTTAAGTAGTCTTTGGACTATAGGCTTTAGTCCTTCTATCATTTCAGGGCAAAGTGGTTATTGTCTCTGGCAGAGAAAGTGTGGTCTTTGAGATGGATCTGAAGTGGTGTAGCTGTTTTTGCTTTCCCCACCATGTGTCCATCTGTCCACACAGCTGGGTCCACCACCTGTAATTCTTGGAGAGGGAAATTCCCATAGAGCTGTGCCTCAGCAGAAGCAGAATTTGAACTTGAGCTTTGGACAGTATATCTCTTCCCAGCAATGAAGTGGAAGTTTCAGGTATTATCAGAAAAGAGTGGATGAAATATAATTCTCCCCAGGTCCACACCACAGGCTTAGAGAAGAATCTTTCCACCATGGGGCATCCTGAGACACCTTGGACTGTAGCCATTTTTATAGAGCATGGTCCAAGGAGGAATGTAAGAACAGAAAACTAGGCCCCAGGGCCCAGTAAAAAGCTTATAAGCTACAATTAGGTCAGTCCAGGGCTCCACTGTTTGAACAGGAGTGACAGGAGCCTGAATATGAAGCCCTAGGGCCTTTCATTGGGAGTTCTCCTTGGTTCAGAGGGGGACATCAATTTTTTCCAGTGAGCTCCCTGGCAGGTGGGAGGCTTATATGAAGTCTTTTTTTGTTAGGCTTCCTCCTGTTGGTGACAATCCTTTTTCCATGTCCTTGTACTTCAAAAGTGCTATTAACTATTATTTGGTAGTTATAACTGGCTTTCTCATGCTGGGTTGACATGTACCTTTTAACACAAGTAGCTGGAGTGAGGGTATAAAGCACCATTAGAAGGCTGTTATTTTTACCAGCCATGGTTGTTTTAGTAGTTGAATCCCTGTAGAATGTTAACAGACAACAGTTATATATTCTAGAGAAACTTAAGATCAAGAGCCACACATAGTATGTTAGCATGACAATCATGATGACATTGTCTTTGTAACACTTACATGTCTATCTTAGTACGGAAGAGTCTTTAAGCCAAACACCTTCATCTGATCACAAGACATTAAATGACAGAGAAAACTCTTTTATTTGTTATCCTTTAGTAGGATGCCATCTAAAGAGAACATACATATTGGCCTACAAATGTATCTTACAAATGTGTTAGCCTCTAATTTTAATGTGACATTGTTTCAACTGTTTGGTGACTGAGCATCCTTAAGTGTGGTGACACATATAACATACATCACTTAAGTTTTTTTTAAAAACTACTATTTGACTGGCTACCTCATGTTGGCTTGACATGTACCTCTTATCACAAGTAGCTGGAGTGTAAGAGAAAGGCAGATACCTAAGTCAAAAAAGATCATTATCATAAACAATATCCTAAAAGAGTTGTACACCCAGAAGGCATGAATATATATATATATATCATGAAATAACAATGAGTATCAGTTACATGA